AGGGCACAGAGGTCCAGACCCCAGGGCACACCCCCTCCAGGCCAAAGCCCCACAGGGCCAGAGGCCCCGAGCCCCAGCAGGCAGTCACCAGGCCAGTCCGACACACACCCCAGCGCCCAGCCCCAGACTCTGGGAACCACCAGCATGCCGGCGGCCAGCCGCACACCCCACCGGGTGGCCGAGTAGCAGCGGGCCCCCAGATAAACCAGCAGGAGGGGCAGCCCAGACCGCAGCCTGACAAATACCCAAACATACACATTCGCACCATCCCACCCTCATCCTCACACCCACTCATTCAAAGACATACAAGGACACCACATTCCACTCATACCCCCGATACACCCTCTATACCCCACAGGTCCAGGCCATGCACCCACCCCCCTACAGGAGGTAGCACACACACAAACCCAGGGGGTAGACCCAATCATTCTGGGGTGGAGAGGAGCAGACAGCCGAGGCCCGGCCCAGACCGCACCAGGCCACCTGGCCAGCCCCTCGCCGCAGAGAAGCCACGACCACCCCACCACACCGCCAACGGCCAAGCGCACCCCCCCAGCCAACCACTCACCGGAAGCCGGCAGCCACTCCGGCCAGCGGGCCACTCATAGCTACCAGGAGCCACACCCCAGGAGTCCAAGCAGCACCAGGGAGGATGGAGAGCCAGCCCCGCCCCTGGCAACCCTCCAAGCCCCGAGCCCACCCTTTGCCCAGGACCACACCCGTTAGCTGCATCTGTGGTTTTTCAGGTTTGTTTTCTGTATCAGGTGTTGCTGTTGTAATCTATCGGATTTTATAATGAACATAATTCAACTACCCAACATCACCAAAGTCATCACTAGTTTGAAATGACTGTCAGCCACTGCCACAACGTATTTTAGCTAATCTTCAGTATATCCACTTTTTTGGGTTTGATAAAGCCATTTAGCTGTAGAAGACATCTTAAATGGGGTTGACTCCAAAAGATAATCAGTTGAAGATGGCTATCTAATAATTAGTTTCTGAGAAACTGATTTAAACTTGTGCAATAATCCATTAGATATTTGCTAATGCTATAAACAAACAGCCAGACAAAACATTGCAGCCCTCTTGCCTTTGGTGGTAAGCGTGTAACAATTGTGAAAATATTAGCAAGAAACTATAGTTACCAGTATGGTGGAAACAATCAGGGATCGATTGGACAGTGAGTCTGAGACGTTAGTTGTCTTCCCCTTCTGGTGTTCTGTCATGTTCAGGCCACTAGCTGGGTCCCAGGTACCAATCTGTAAAACAAAATAAAAAAAACATTTGATTTCAACAAACAGAATATTAGGTATGCAGAAGAAAGATGTATTTAGTGTATGTTTCTGATATTTTAATCCTGTTGCTGCTGTGTACAATGGTGCACACATATTTAGGAGCAGAGAACTTCAAAGCAACATCTATCTGAAAATATTCTGGTGAAAGTGCTATGGATTTCTGATCATTCCAGTCAACATTTACTTTTAGTAAGCAACAACACACAAAGAAAAAGTATAAAAGCACTAGAAAAGGCACAAACAAAAACTACATTGAGATGAAAACAAAGAGATTGAAAGCATCTGTAAACGTTTTAGGAGGGAAACTCCCTCATGCTATTCCATGCCTCCATGTGAAATACTGAGTTAAGTTTACAACAGAATTGACTACATCTGACTGATTTGTGTGATTTGAGGGAACAAAATCTTTTAGTAAGTTTTGTTTATGATTGACAAGGAAAATACAGAGAAAATTTCTGACACCTCGACAGTCTAAACATAACGTAGAAAGAGAGCTATGATTCCTCATCACTTCAGCACCTTCTTCCATTTCCAAAATCTAATCAAGCTGCACCTGTTTAGGTGAAGTAATTCCAACATACAAATATTTATTACAGAGACAGGAAGTAGGTATTTCCAAATTAGTGTCAATATTTTCTGTTGGCATTTATTTTTTCAGTAATTATAAACTGTATGTAAAAAAAAATGATGTGTAAAAAAATTCTCAAAACAATCTGGCAGCAAGTAAAAAGCCTGACCAAAAAGCCATACTAGCTGTCAAAATGTGCTTTTTTTTCATAGTTTTTGTATCTATATCCATGATAAAAAATAATTACAAAATACACATCACATACTACCAATTACCTACTGCATAACTTGCAATAAACAAGCAAAATCAGCAGAAGCGTGTTTTGTTTCCAACAATTAGTGCCAACAATGAGTCATTTGTTTACATTCAAACCTTGTCGAGTGCACTTAGTGTCAGTGCACGACTGATACGAGTAAAATAATCCATGGATGTAAACAGAGTCAGAGGGAGAACAATGGAATCAGAAACACCAAGTCAAAAACAACAAGCTACTCTTATTTTCTCTTTTTCCAATAAGAAACAGCTACGTGCTACAAACTTCAAGGATGAGAGTTGACAGACGTAAAGTCATTTTGAGAAATAAAGTATTTTTGGTGGCGAGTCTTAAAGCAAAGTTTGGGCCAAAGATCATAGCAAATGAGCTGTCAAAATATTCAGAAATCTAAGAGGAGAATTTATGTAACAGACAAACAAATTTAATTGTAAACAAAAGCAAGGAAATGACCAACGTCTGAGTGACATTCACCCCTGTAGAACAAATCAAAAACATTGAAAATATTTTGACAGCTCTTATGCCTTTAAATGTTTTAACAAATGCGTGCAAAGTAAAGGTTACAAATGCTTTATTGCAGCATGAATTAATTTTACTGTTAGAACAAACACCAATAATTTGAATAATCAAAGGCCTAACATTCCTTGATGTCTTTGCAAACATAAATGAGCTCATTTTAATTAGCAAATTATCATTTAATTCCAACCCAGCCACTAAAGCCCTTTTGTGATTTGGATCAATCAAGTTTCATGGGTCAAACCCACCCATTCAGTGCAGATCCACCCACTTTGAACCCCTTTGTGTTCTACAGAGACCTCTTCTTGCCCTAGCTGACCCACCTTCTATTTGAATTTATTAGGCTTCTACTACTCTGGAATGGGAAATCGCCGATACTGAATTTGTAGAGTACATCTTTTCTTGGGCCAAGTACCATAATATGGAAATGCCTCAGTGTGTCTTGTTTTGTTTGCTTTGAAGATTGTACAAGTAAATATACAATGAATTAAATAATCCTAGATACTTCTGTGTATTTTTCTTTTGGTCACACACAGAGAGGATTTGTGTGGCACCCTGTAGACACAGTTGACAGCAATGTGAACCCTCGGCTCTTTTCACTGGCGATTTTTATCTCGAATCCCACAAACACCAATGCTAAAGATAATGGAAGATTTGGATTGGACCCCATGGCCCTTTTGAAGTGTCGGCCAGGCAGTGCTAAAAGAAATAGGGAGGCGGGAGTACATGCTTGAGAAGCAAAGTAGAAAAGGGTAGCAAAGATATCAGATCATGCCTCGAGGCTTTTCATCCCTGATCTCAGCTCTCCCCCAAGTTTCTGCTCTTAGCCTTGTTAGCTGCACCCTGCTCTCCAAGCAGCCTGAGCATCACTGGAAGGCATAGCAAACACTCCAGTCCTCGGCAGCTGCACTGTCCTAAGGGTCCACTGATGCCCTGAGTGAGTGTCTGGGATCAGCTATGGAATAACAAATCAACTCTTTGATTCAGGCTTCATGAGGCTGGAGGGTTCCTGAATGAGTTTTTATTAATGGAGTAAATTATTCAGGTGCAGCCACACACAACACCTAGAGCAGAGGTCAGGAGCCGCTGTGAGGAACACTCCTGTAAGAATCCACAAGTGCAGAGTGCTCACCATTGCAAGTTAGAATATTATTTGTACCAACAGTGTTAGCAGGTTCATCTCCTACTGATAATCTCATGAATCCTAAATTGAGTGTCGGCACTGGAGCTATTCAGTTTCGTGAAAAATAGATGCTCTTCTATGATAGCAAACGCAGGTGCCGAGTGGCCACAACATTTCAGATGGAGTTTGAACAGGACAGATGTTCAACATGTTGCATGCTGAGCTGGAAAACCTAAAGTTTTTTTTGTTTGTTTCTGTGACACAGAAGCCACCATGCATAATATAATGTTCAGTCTCATTCAGTATTGTCAGATATGTTTAGAGTATGTGTTGAGCTTGATCCAGCTACAACTAAATTGGATTTTAGCCTAAAATCTGTGAAACCTGCATAGTTAAAAACAGATTTTTGCTTGGCCAAGGTTGATTAGCAGTTGGAACTCGAACTGAATTGACTCTAGAAGCTATTTTGCTGTTGATTTACATTACATCAAAATGAATTCACTGCCTTACAAAATATTTTGCAAACAGGATTGATTTAGTACCACTTGGAGTATGTTTTGGGAATGTCTGAACTGCTATCAGTTTTATTAAAATCTGTCCAATTGTTAAAACAAACACACGGAAAGGCAAAACCACGGTGGACAGTAACAATATTTTTGTGTGTCCAAAAAGTCTGACAAAATGCCAAGTGGATGAATCGTGATTGGTTGATAATTGTTAGGTTTTGAACCTTGCTGTCAAACATTGGCAGCATGTTTTTAGTTTCAGATATTTTTTTTTTAGTAAATTGTTGTTAAATAACACACACACAGTTAGCTGCTACTGAGACCATGGATCAAATCGAAAAAGTGCATGTGCACAGAAATATTCAGATGCATCAAACCGCACACTTTTTTCTGTGCTCCTTTCATTATATATCTCAACAAACATAGAACTGTGTGGGTGCACATAAGCCACCTCCCCTAACACACCTCCATTTAAATTTGCAAATATGTCCTGCAATGTGAGATTCTCCTCTTTGCATGATCAAATATAACGTCGCAGTGAAGAAAAATTAGGAGTTTAATGGAATGTGAGTCAGAGATGCTCCTAAATCCATAAACCATAAATGTTCAAATGAACGAGAAGATTTGTGTTCCCATACCTCTTAAATACAGAAAACCAAACTACATCATTGGATGTATGTATACTTTCAATACTATGTAGTTTGAAAAAAAACTGAAAATGAACCGAAAGTAGTTTAATGGAAGTAAGCACATTTATATAGTAGGTAGAAGGTTTGTGTACAACAAGCACACTTTCATGCGGTATTTGTCCTATATATCCTAATGTGTGTGTGGAGTCTGGTGCACATAACCTTTTTGTGTTTACACACCAAAAGGCCTTACTACATGAGGCCTAGTAAAGCAAACACGATTTTAGCTGCTAGTACATATTTCTCTTTCAGTTCTTGATTCATACACGACAAATGTGCCTTTAATCCTTCAACAAACGAGGAGGAGATATTGATTGGTCGTTACATTGATTGATTTAACCATCCATTCATCCATTGCCTGTCCTCACTTCTCCATTCAGGGTTGGTGAAGAGCTGGTGTCAATCTCCAGAAGTCAATGTGTGTCCCGGGACTGGTCACAAGTCCATTTCAGGGTCACATAGAAACAAACAAGATGGACAACCATTCACGTGGAGATCACATTTCTCTCATTTTTAGCTTTTCTCCGTCAGTTTTCATTAAATTTCTGAATATATTTTAAAATTTTAACATACTAAACCCTCAACAACCAAACTCTATCTTAGAGTGAGGATCTTATTGCACCATATTTTCCAACAGTGCACTTTTCTCTTATACTGCAGATTTACTTGTTCTTAGTTTGTTGAATGGAAGGCAGCATTCACTTATCAGTCACATGTCTTGGAGAATCTACATATCATTTTGGTTTATAAGACTGACACCCTGTTTAATGTTAGGTCAAGGCTTATGTCTTTTCTTTTGCATAAATTCATTGTTTGTGTGGCTTGGGTTTACTGAGCTACAGTATCTCTGAGTTACGCTGCTTTAACTTTAGACTGCTGGAGGACAGACTTGACACTTTTCTCACTATGCTGCTGTTTGTACTTTTTAAAATCATTATTTTTTTTTATTTCATAGAAACTACATCTGTGTTTGTGTCTCTTTCCTGTCTCCCCAAACCTGAGCCAGTCAAGACAGATGGCAACTCATCCATCTTCCTGTTAAAAAGCTGTGCTTCCTTTCCATTGTCGCCAACCTGCTGCTAATTATGTGGGAATGTAACAAAGATTGGATGCAACCTGCTGGCATATTTAGACAAGTAACTTTAATTAATTGGCAGTTTGGAATAGACTGTATGAGATTGTATTGTATAATAATTGGTATGAAATAACTAATGAGTTTGGAATCTAGATGTGTTTTGAACTGGCTTAGATTTATGATTTGGACTTGTTTTCATTGTGCAGTGCTCTAAAACTACTTCTGTTTTAAATGTGTTGAATTTAATTGAATTGATTTGAACAAATTATGATAAATTTATTGTTGATGGCCTATAATGCACATTTGATAAAAATCTGACCACAGCGTTAAACAAATTATTTTCCT